ATAATTTTAAGTCAACATCATAAAATCACACGATAATATCGTTATTGTGCTTGCGTTGATAAATAATCAAAATTATTGTCCAATTCATAATGATGATCGGTCAGATTTAGCCACTAACGTGGCTAAATCTAACTGAATCGACATTATGAATTGGACAATAATTTTAATATTAATCGTTGCAAAGCACAATAACTTATAATTATTGTTTAAAATGAGCATATAATGAGGCAATACGGAATTTGTAATTCAACATTTTTTATGGATATGGATTAAGAAATGAGGCGCATAAATTAATAACATTATCTATCATTCAATTATATAATAAATTGGGAATTACAACTTTAAAAATTGGTAATATTAAGAATCGTCCAATGTGCAAATTAATGCGAACATTAAAAATTGACTTTTGGTTATAAAGCCATTATAGATATCGAACCCTTTAACTTATTTAGAAGAATTTAACGACTCAATGCCAAGTCAAAATGTGAATTAAAGATTCTTCACTTGATTAATCTCAAATCAAAAATAGGAATCAAGCTAATATAAATTTTTTGAAAGTAGATTTAGCATAAATTATGTTTATAAATTTAAATGCTGTATATTATTTATACTAATAATAAACAATTCTATTTTATAAGAAATGTTTACAATCATTTTATCAAATTAACAATTACAATTGTTTGTTGTAATAAAAATTAACAATAGTTCTTTATTAGAATTAGGTGGTTTTGATTGAAGACTTTACGCAAAAGTAAATATCACTTTAAACATGTGACAGATACAGTAATGTAGTGACCAGAAAACATTTGCTTATCGAAATAGGTGGAACCATATTACATATTGTGAAGGTTTCCTTTATTGAGGTGAGGAAAGATCAAAGAACGAGATAGATACTTATAAACAAAGTAATTTGATACATTAACTCATTTCTAAAAGAATTTGACTACCAAGCTATCGAATGGAGTATTAATCTTGTTGATGGTTGTTATTTGAAGTCAGCTTTGAGCCTTAGTTATAAAGAATTATTGAATAGTAATCCTGAATTTGTTGAAGATAATGATCTAAACAAAGTGATTTCTTCAATAACTAATACAAGAAATGTGTCTAGGGATTGTAAATTGACTTTTATTATATTGGCATAATAAGTGCAGCTGTAAACCAAAAAAAATTTTTGGTAGTTTCTTCCCTTTCTACTGCAAAGCGACAATATAATTTCTTTTGTATATTCGATGGAATGATCAAAAAATTATAAATCAACCAAAAAAAAGCATTTCAAAAACGATAAAAACCAAATGTAAAAAAATATAAAATGGAAAAAAATTTGATCATTGCACGATCGATCGAACTAATAAACAAAGAAAAAATCGAAAAGCTTAATCCTTCCGCCGTGATCTCACTCTAAAGAGGAAAAAAATCGTGATAAATCAAAAGTGTTGAAAATTAAAAAAAAAAATTATCAGAAATGCTAAAAAATGATAATTTTATTTTTGGTAAAAATTGTTTGACTAATAAATTTTTTTGATGTTATCCGCATAGATTCGATTTTCATCGAACGTTAAAATCAACAAACCCGAGAAACGAAAATAAGTTCTACTTTTTTGAATCGATTCGATCCGTAACTTCTCAGAAATATCTAACCTGACATGAATATTCCAAGGAATTATAGCCAAGTGTGAAAATGATGTTCAGAACATATGATTTACTATATTCGTAACTCGAGTTTAATAGAAAACCTCCCATATGCAATAGGGGAGAAAATGCATGGAAAAATCAAATTTACTTTTATGAAAAGTATGAGCGAATTCAGTATTTCATAACTCATCTTTTATTTTCTCGGTTGTGGATAAGCGTCACAAAGACAATTACATTAAAGAAGACAAGCGATTGTAGTATTATGACGTTAATATTTCACCACTGCATTCAGTATTCAGTATTCCCTCAAAACAATACTTTTGAATTTGAGGTCACGGCTATATTTAATTTGTTTATTATTTTTTCTAATAATTCTTCATTGTATGAATAATCTTGCTACATTTAAAAATAATTATTTGCCCGGACTTAAGACCTTGACCATTATATTACAATAATAATTGATATAAAAAAAATAAATGCACAAGTAATTGAAGCAATGTGTAAAAAGAGTGTTTTCTGTGTGAGGTGAGAAAAAAAGAAAATAAAGGAAAGAATTTGATAAAAAATTTCAATTTATTAATCTCGCGCTTGATCAAATACTAAACGCATTTTGTTATAAATAGGTTTGTTATAAATAATCTATACTACAAATTCCAAAATTCTAAACAAGCAAATGGCGCGGCGCAGTAATTTGTTAATTTGTCTATTTTTTTTATAAAAAAAAAGGTAGGCTTAAGTTTATTACGTTAGATAGTGCAATTCTTACCAAAGAATATATTATAATTTCGCTGTATACATTTAACAAAGATAAAAATGCAAATTATCAATAGGTTCTAATGAATGATTAATTGTATTGAAGAAGGTATTTTTAAAAAAAAAGTATTAAATACTACATTTTAGCAATATTCAAAATATTGGTACCTGGAAGCTTTGGAAAAGTCTATCGTGCGATTGGAAAAATTCAAAACCTCCCGCGTAAATAACGTTTCATAAACTTAACAATGTCATTGTTAAAGAACTTGTATTGAGGTAATTACAAAATATAATATGCATTTTTAGTCCATTTATTATAAAATCAAGATAAAATTTATATTCAGCTAGAACTTCAACGTGAAGTTGATTATATTTTACGTTTTTTTGGAATCATAACTTCAAATCAAGTAATTGAATTATATAATTTATTTATATTATATAATATTATTTTTTTAAAAAAAAAATGATCATTTGAAAAACTATTAACTATCAGACAATGATAAATATAAATATAATTTTTTTTTAAGAAAATTTTATATTTTATTAATTATTAGTCCGGAGCATAAGTGAAGGACTATATATGTCTGTAGCTGGTATTTGTTTGTCCCCCCCCCCCCGCTTGTCAGTCGAGTCAACGTCTTTTTTTATTTTTTATTTGTTTGTTTGTTTGTGATTTGCTGTGTTACCCTTCTTAAATAAGCAATCATACATATACAAATTAAACAGAAATATTAAAGCACCTTTTTTATTTTTATTTATTTTTTTGTTTATTTTTTTGGTTCTTATTTTATTTTTTTGTTCATGAACTTCGTAATGTAAAAAAATTATGTAAAAAAAAAATTAATGGTCATTTCTTAGTTGTAATAATTATCCTTATACCTTAAATTATGAAACTATTTTTTTTGGTGTTGATTTTTTACTATTCGTTCTTATGGTATCAATTTATACAAATGCTTTTCTTCATTCTTACTTTCTTGTAACCGTTTACTGTTCTTGATATGTTGAAGCCTATCAAAGGTGAATGTTTAAAGTAAAGATCACTGAGCGAGCAAACTCATGACAGAGTTACAAATAAAAGACCCGCAGCAAATTCAGTGTTTCCTATATCTATTTTTACCTTTGGTAGTATAAGCCTTTGACTTTATGCACCATGATAGCCTAGTGAGACATAAAGAAAATTGTATCCTTAAACATGTTGTCCCATTCTTACCTTCCCAAGAGCATTTTATAGGTACAATCAGAATCACTTTAATGCTCTCTGAATTTGTGATGGTATCTCTTTTATATGCATTGAATTTTACGAAAACTGCTACAGGAAGTGAAGGTGATGCCTTTTTCTCATATAAAATGTCATGTATTGTTCTTATTGCTCTGTTTACTAATCCTACTTCTATTTATAAAATTAATATTAACATCACTCGAGATTCTTTTGCCAATAGTAGTTCAGTTTTGAGTCCCTTTGCCAAGTCTGATTTGGCTTTTTTGCTTCATATTCACCTGTGTATTCTATAATTATCTTAGCTACTAGACAATTCAAAGATTGGAGTATTTCTGTGTTGATTCTATCTACACTATTTACATTATTTTACATCATAAATATTGAAACAGCAACTAAAAATTCATCGTGTTTCACTTAATTTAAATTATGTTAAATTAGTTATACAATCTTTGCCAATCTTTTAGAATACTGTCTCCTTCACACAATCTCAAGAGTATATTTCAAAATGCCAGTTGTTCTTCATTTTCTTCTGACTATCTCTGCACTAACTCAAGTTTGTATACCTCTCTGAATTTTTTGTATGATATTATATCATTATTTAATCTTGTATCTTTTAATGAATTTTGCGTATACATAGAAAAATTGAGGACTTTTGAGAGTTGGTCAAAATTGATGAATAGTAATATTGATTATCTTCCAAACGCTTGGTTTTTATTTTCAGAAAAAGCTTATCTTAACCTCAGGTCAATTACTGCAAGCATTTTACGTCCCATCATGCTTTTCTTGTCAATAATAAAGTAAAGTATATTCTGTAGTCATTCTTGTAATTTCTTCAATCTAATGCCTTTTAACTCAATTCCAGATTTATTATTAATAGGTACAGATAATATTGAATAGATCGTTGATCTGTTTATATTAAATGCGATGTTAGTGATAATTTGTTTGCGCAACTAAATGACTATGCTAACTAACGTCACCAATGATTACCAGGAAAATCGTAATCACTGTTTTCATCAATTTTACTACTATCACGACTATCATTGTGATATTTATTTTCATAGTTATAACATTTATCATTATTTTATTTATTATATTTATTTTCACAGTTATATTTACTTTTATTACTATATTTATTATCTCAATCTTATAATTATATTTTATATAAATATCCTGTATTATCGCTTTGACAAACTAACAAGTTTCAATTGTACAATTAATAAAGTATAATCTTAACAATATGAAAACTATATCTTTGCTAATATCTATTTCCTTAAAAATATAAATCATCAATAAATACGACCTGACCCTTCAACTTAAATAAATTCGTGTTTATTTCTTTCATAGTTTATAATTTAAACTCCCTGTTAGCAAATAAGCTTTGTTATTCTAACAACGTAGTGTTTAAGCTTAATAAGTGGTGATTCCTGCCAGGAGAATCTTTATTGAAAATATACACAATGAATCGTTGAAGGATTAGCGAGGTGTATAAATTTTGAGGAACTTGAGAGAACTACCTCAGAGCATATAATTAGGCATTACTTAGACGAACCCCTTAATCAAGATTATACTTATCCTTGGTGTTATCCACTCCCTCCAACTGAAACTCTTTCCAATAGCTTTAGTAATTTCTGGAATTGGTTTAGACGTGAATATCAAGCAGATACTTTTACTTTAAAAACTATTATTACCTTTAACTTGTTTGAACAACTTAGTAGTACGCCTGAATCTAAACATCGTAACTCTCGTCTAATAAGAGTTATCTACCAGCTTCTTTCTAGTATTTGATATCGTGTTTGACCCTTTTCAGCAGACGTAATATATTTATATATACAAGGCATATCATTTCGAATAAATTGTTTTCAACAACCTATCACCTTATCTATTTCTTCAAGAGTATATACTGAAATCTTAGAACGGGACTTAGTAAGACCTATAGACTAACAATTATTATAATGATTTGTTACTTCTTCAACACCATCCGCATCTAGCTTATTAACCTCACTCTCTAATTCACCCTCAGTTGAAACTGAAATAATAGCTATAGGAGTAGAAATGAGAGCTATCTTCCAGAAAATTTTTGGAAATGGTAGACAACACTTAACAGATATTAGTGAATGACTTTGCAGAAATCAAAATGAAGAAAGATCTACTATTAAAGTTGACTACTTTTCAGGAGCTGAAAATGAAGATCCTGTAGAATGGCTTACTGCATTCGAATGAGCTGCAATCACTAATAGATGGATCACTGAAGCATGAAAGAAGGCTCTTGCTAGCGGACATCTTAAGGGTGTAGCAGCTGACTGGTTTGATAGTGTTACCACTACCATGGGAGACAATTGGAATACTAGTAGCAATGGTGGCCAAAATTTTGTAGATTTATTTGAAGCTCGCTTTATCAGTGAAACAAAGAAAAACTAATGGTACCAGAAATTAACCTTTCTACGATAACAAACTGATGAGTCTGTTGATTCCTATGCTAACAAATTCAAGAAACTAGTGACTCATGTAGGATTAACTGACAATGCACAAAAGAAGAGGATGTTTCTTATGAGACTGAATCCTGCTTACACTCCATTAGTCTATTCACAAAATCCAGTCGATTTGGATGCCACTGTAAATTCTGCGAGAACTATTGAAATCAGATATAATTTTGCCTCTAGAAAAGCCCCTAAGGATATCAGCATTACTACAGTTTCTACCCCTAAAAATGTGGTTACCAATGTTGAAGTAGATGAACTCACCAAGAAATTGGAACAACTATTCATCAACTTGCTAATTTGACGACTGCTCTATTAGCTCAACCTCAACAGTCCTCAAGAAGGCAAACAGAATGAACTTACAATGATACTACCAGAAGACCTAGATAAAATATGTCTTCTATAACTTATTACAATTGTAATAAGTAAGGCTACATAGCTAGATATTGCCCTCAACCTCGTCAGCAACTAAGAGGAACTGATAGAAGACCTCGTTATAATAATACAAAAGACGTATATCTTGCTGACCAATATTATGAGGAAGAATATAACGACAATGAATACATTTCTGAAGAATATTATGAAAAAGATGAATATGAAGTCTACTTAAACACTAGGTCTGGACCTTACCTTAAAAATACTGTATCAAAAAATAAAAGAAGACCAGTAAAATTTCAAAACCTACCTAAAACTACTGTTGAAGAATT